GAAGATATATGTGTACATATATGCTCAGCGGAGGCCTGCGTTAGGCCTCTTATACATAATATATGTCTTCTGGATGTGTCAAGGTCACTTTTAAATGATCTCTAAACTCCCAAATTACAGCAGTACTATACCGCGAATTGTTTATGCCTCAATTGATAGAGTCAATACGTTTTAACAAATATGGAGCTTCGTTTTTTGAGTCACGTAAACAGGAGGAAAAAATATATAAAAATTTTGCGCCGCTTCCATTCTGTATCGAAAAAAAGTTTCACTTTCATTTTTCAAAATAAGCACAAAAAATTTCAAAATAAGGCACTGATAATGTGACCACAAAGTACTTGATAAGCACAATGGAGTTGGATTTACTTCAGGAATTATCACGAATGTCCAGTCTTTAAAAAAAAATCCTTCCTTAAAGGCAGACGCTATTGAAATGCCAAGCGATGCCTAAAACTCCCTAAATTAAAATAAAAAAATGGATTGCTGTTTACGGTACGTATATGTATATTTTGCTGTGTTATGATACACAGACCGATGTGCTGTTGAATTTAGTAGCGCCTGGTACTCAATACTCGAGTGAAAAAAATGCAGGAATTTTTAAGAATTTTAAAATTTTGAAATTATTTCTTTAAACTTTAACTTAATTGTCAGATTTTGATAAATCTTGACTTTATTCTTCACAATCTAACATATTTAAAGCAAATCCATCAATTTTTCGTCCTTTAAATTATTTATTTTCACCCAAACCTTCCACTGAGCACCGATAATAAGTTTGCCAATGAGATGTAAAGTTTTCACTCGAGCATACAACACAGTTAAAACGGCTGTTTCATGTGCGTGAAATAAATGAATAACACAAAAAAAAGTGTATACAAGCTATATGTCACATCACCAATAAGACATTAATGCTGCCACTTTTCATGCTCGCCTAGTGAAACTCACTCTTCTCAATTTTCGAAAAAATAACTTTTTTCTTTCCTTTTTTAAAATTATTTTTGTGGGAAAATTGCAATGCATCGCATCTCGATTTCAGGTCACTTCTGTGCTGTATAGATTTGTGCTCATACGTCACCGTTCGTCTTTGACTTTGTAGATTTCCACTGTTCTTCCCCCTTTCCAAAAAAATAGTATGTAGCATGTTGTTGCTTTAGTTGTGGGAATAAATTGTTCAGTAGTAAGATTTAGAAGCTAGCTGACATTAGTAAAGAAATTTCCATTGAACTATTAAATGGCTGGCGGCAATGGCATGCTTATGGAACCAAAGAAGAAAAAAATTATTCATTAATAAAAAAATACGCCCAGAAAAGCATTGCCATTGCTATAATGCTTTAAATATATTATGGCTACATTATAACAGAATGAAATTGTAGCACAACAGCTACAGATCATACTGCTTCGAGGTTTATAGATTGTTGAGTGTTGCTGAACAAACGAGATTGTTTGTATAGTAAATGAAAAGGAAATGAAGACATGCAATAGTAAGCTTTAATATGGAAAATGTTCTCTCATTGGAAATAGACGTAGTCAATGGCGATTGGAAATCATCTTAAGAAAGAAAAAAATCTAATCCCGCGATATTTATTGACAGCTTATGATTAAGTCACATGAAACACATGGAATGAAAATTTACGGCACGTGGCTTATAGCATTTTTACCAAACTCTCATACTAGTCAGTCACATACAGCATTTCAATTTCATTGTTTTCAAGCGCTCGCATTGAACATTTCTATGTGACTCGTCGTACGATTCCAAACGTTGTGCTGCACATCATGTTCGCCTATTACATACGTTTCGGTACCATTCCAAAAAAACTCCATTTTTCTCGAACGGCAGTCGAACTAAAAATGTATGAAATCTACAAAATGTATGAAACAAAATGGCGCAATTAAATTTCAAATTGACTGTCATCGGTATGCTGGACAATAATTTGCAAATTTACAATAAATGATCATTATTTATAGAAAGTGGCAATCATGCGTGACATCAATATATCCACATTGGTCGACGATATCTTCTTAAAATCTCATCAAATTTGTTCATTCATATTCAGTTCCTTCATATTTCTTTGCTGTGAATGTCTTTTTTTTGGATAATTGAATGTGAAACATAAATTTACAATTGTATCTATACATTGTCGATTCAATGGCTATAAAAATTTCCAGCCCACATCCATTTGCCAACAACAATTGTAAGACACGAATTATTGATGCCTTTACATTTGTCAATTGACTCGTGGTCGATAAGATTTACATTTCCAGATATCACACATATTCTGTGCATGCATAAGTTTTCCAACAAAGCTATTCCCAAAAAATATATAAAAAAGTAGATGTATTGATGATGAGCGCTACTTCCCATGTAAAAAACATCAAAATGAAGGAACTGATTTTTCTCAGAAGTAAAATTTAATCAGTTCCACAATTGATACCTAGCAAAATGTGATGGAAAATGGAATGATTTGCATTTCTATCCGAAATTCACTCCCAAACCAGTCCATTCCTTCCATTGTTTTCTTAGCCATTCAGTCAGTCACATAATATTATTTAAATTTTACTTCCACATGATTGAATTAAGCATTTTTTTAAGCTTTCCATTTCTCAAAAAATGACTTCTCATTCCAGCTTGGAAGAACTTTTTTATGAATTTTAATTAAGCTTTAGATAATGATTTTAGAGACGAGACAAATAAAAATCCATCAGATATCCACCATTGGAATCCATACAGACCACCATGTTGATTTAATATTCTTTACGATTTTAAATTTAATGAGGCGTTAATGACTGCACTGGAGCTCATAAATTTGTTAGTTGAATGTAGTTTTTGTAGATATTGATATGCATTCCAATGGATGATTTGGGTATCAAAGTGTTTGAATGCTTATGAATTTGAGGAAATGCAGTAAAGTGTGCATAAGTATGAATTTAATGCAATTGATTGATTTTCTTAGAAATTGGAAGTAAATGGAATATATGCAGTGTAAAATATAAAGTTTTGATATCAATCTTGTGGTCGATTTCAGTTGCTTGGTTGTTTTGTGCCATAAACTGATAGTCATGCATTGGACTTTTACCATTTATTGATAAGATATCATTTTAAAACCGAATACTGTATAAATTACTGTCACTACAATTATATCGTGTAATTAAAACCTATTTAGTATTGAAAAACATGCAGACAGCATTTAAGGTCATGCTTACACCATTTGAAATGATTATCTGAGCATAGCATATGCTCATTAAACATTGATTCTGTTCAATTAACATGAAAATTTGTTGTCAAATAAAAGTTAACAATTATTGCTGTAAACATTTAAGTTCTCATATTTAAATGGGTATTAAACATTGTGATAATGATCATGATGGACTCGAATGAGCCAACATAGTTATTTATTATAGTAAATCCTATTTTTTAAAAAATTTCAGGTTAGGATTTTGGATTTTTTGAAAAAAAGCTACATTGATACTTAAACATTGAACTTAAAAATCCTCACTCGACTATAGATTTAATCATTTATATTACCGGTTGATAGTATGATTAGAACCAAGCGGTAGCCAATTGGCAAACCTGGCCACAATTTCAATATGAGAATATCCCTAATTGCATAATCTTTGATCTTACTTGACAGCAAATAAAAGATGCCTCGCTGGTAAAATGAGCTTTTTGTAGTTCTTACATCCTCAAAAAGTGCAGAATTCTAGTCATCAAATTAGTTTGATATATGAGTGAAGTGCTTAAGCTTCAATATTCTGTAAAACCAACAACCATTTTCATTGAAAACTTAGAACATCCCAAATAGTTATCATAATAATAAAACTGAATTGTTATAAAGCTAATCACTGGTTTTATAGCAATTGTTGGTTGATGCTGCACACCTACAAATTATGGATGATGAAAACGATTGGATTATAGACTATGAGTGGAATATGAGCATATAAAAGTGGGTGAACGAGACAATTGAAGCCAATTTGAGCGGTCAATTGACACAAATTGTTGATTATTCTATATAATTAGTTGATGTGACATCCATATGCTGCATATGACACAAAAAATTGTCAAAATTATTCAAAACATCCATAAATTAATTTAATTGTATAAGATTTAATCAAATCATCCAAAAACCTAATCACAGTTGCATCAAACTGCAAAATCCATTATCATATCCTGCAGCTATATCTTCAATGTTGCACAATTCACAACAATTTTATTTTTCAAAAAAAAAAAACTTTAGACGTAGAATACTACACGATGAGAACTTTACAAGAAATGAAACAATATACGTAAGCATCAATGTTATGAATACTAGGTGTTCAGCACAAAAGAAACATTCTCAATTATTTTTGTTCGTTCCACATCTCCCATCGACTTGCGTTTTAAATCTTTTTATTTTCTCATTAAAGCGTAACAAATGTGATGCCACAATGATGTGTGGCACAAAGAGAAACAATGAGATCGTCTCATTGAAACAAATAAATCGTGAGTTTCTGCAGCGCCATTAAATTCCCACTTCCATTTTAGATATCTCACACTTCGTCGACAATTTTTTTTTCTTCTTTCTCTGCCGTTTGCTTTCATTTCCTTCATCTCTTTTCTCAATACGTGTTCTGTGACTTTTCTCTCTGCGCTCGTGCTTTGTGCTTTTATTGAAATTTTCCTATAATTTGGGATGCGCGAAAAAAAAGCAGCAAGTATAACTTTTTTAATGGCGAAGTGAATCCATTTTTGGATGTTTTTTGAATGTTATGTTGTGGATTTGCTGCTTTTCTTACTTTTTGATGAACATTTTGAATGTTAAATTGATTTTTGGGATCTTTAGCTTAGTTAAGTAAAGCTTTTAACGAAATCCTTTAAAGTAGACAGTTTGAGAATCACTTACTTAAAAATGCTCAGAATAAGCACAGATAAAATTGCTTGATTATGAACAAACTTTAATTTTCTGGTTACCAAAAAACCATTTTTATTGAAAACCTTTAAAAGACAGGAAAAGTACAAAGTCTGGTGCATTCACACAAAATTTTGATCATCTACTGTGCAAAAACCAAAATGTCATCAAATTCCTTATTGTGTTTGATCAATATATTCAGCAGAGCTACACAAAGCTGGATATTTTGGATTTGTACCAGTTTTACATTCAGAAGCTGGTGCACCAGATTTATATGACTTGCCATCAAGATTTCCATATGAATAGTTGCAAACAGTATAAGTCATTTGTTCGCCATTGTAAGGAATGATGCCGACAGCACATCCAATTTTCGTACATGTGTCTCTAACAACTTGTGTAAAATGTCCATTGATCAAATAGTTACTGCAGCAGTTATCGATAGCTGATTGATCTGATTTCTTGACTTCTGAGTACCAGTTTTCGACATTACTGTAAGCAATTTTGTTCAAATCCTCTCCGAAATCTCCAGCAATATTTTGACCAGAAAAGGGAAAGTCCTTAGTTGCGTGACAGTCATGAGCAAAGTCGCATCTCATGACATTCAAAAGTGCATAGTCAGCAAGTGTTTGGTCCCATTCCTAATAATTATAGTAAAATCTCATTAGGTTTCAATTTTAGTAAATAAAGGCATGGCTTATACTTACAACTGTAGCCATTCTGGTAGCGGAATTAAATCCTGGTTGTTTACCATTAGCAATCAAGTTTCTTTTCTCGTTGTGTGCATCAAGAAAAGCTTGTTTGTTTTCCTCAGTAAGATCAAGAATACGAGCACATCCTGATGCTGCCTTTGATTGAATTTCTTTCAATTGACATGTCAGATGATTTCCATCGCAAAGGTCAGTTTTGCATAAGTCTACAATTTGTAATGTCTTTTGAGACGAAACAAGTTGGATTGCGGCAGCAATAAGAATGAACTTCAACATGATTTTTATTTTTTTTTGGATATCCTTTCAGAACTTTTTGAATAACTTCAATAAACTGATGATAGAACTGTAGAATTCGGATGCTTTTATACTTAAACAAGTTCAATTGATAAGCATCTTCAATGCCTTAAAATCAATAGAATAGCAATTAACTGTAATTAGATCAATAATTATACAGTTCGTCTTGAAATATTATGCAAATTAAATGAATCACAAAACTTACAAAAATGTTTAATTGCTACTTTGTTGTACTTTGTTGATCTGAAATCTAATTCTTTAATCAAAGGATTTCTTTTTGTTTTGTATTTTCTCAGCATAAGGAAGCCATTAAACTATAGAAATCTCTTTAAGAACTCAAAATTTTGTTATTCTCTCATTAACTTGAATTGCTCAAAGCAATGAATTCCTTATTCTAGCAGCATAAAAAATTACATTTCAATGATTTTGATTGTTATCCCGTAGAAGCATGTTAAGATAGATCATCAATGCATTGATGAAGCTCCAGTTGAACCTTGATGCTTTTATAGTAACTTAAACTCAACTTGATATATCAATAATTATAATTTCAGCATCAGATTAATTCACTAAAATGCCAAGCACGTGAATTGAAATGTAAAAAACACGACTTACGTAGAAAGTCATTAGCTTCCGCATTTGACTTATGTTAGATTACAGTTCTTTTATATATATCGCAAAGCGAAAATTAGTGTATCGGGTAAACCCAATGTGGATATATTCATATCATACCATCAAAAGTTTTATGGATAGACCAAGATTTGCTTAGCATAAGTTTGAAGGTATAAAGCTTGGTATGTTTGAAAGTATAAAACCAGCGAGTCAGCTGAGCTTCGCTGAGCATATGCTTGAAGATTTAAAGCTTAACGAACATTCTTTAAAAGTTTTTTCATCCAAAGTTTAATTTTATAAAAATCACAGTCACCTTTTGTTTTGAAAACTTCGTAAGAAAGGAAAGTTTTTTGCTTTTTCTCAAGCAACGGCTATTTCTACCTTGCCCAAAAACAATACAGCTCTTCTATAGAGCAGCACGAATCAAATGTAGAAAACCAGAAGTCTTTACAATGTCTCGTTATTGAGATTTCTTGCTGATTAACTTGCATGCTTGTTTGCATGCTTACAGAAATAGAATTGCGAAAGAACGTGAACCAACGTAAATACGGTGTAAATATTCCTAATAATTTCAATACATTAAATAAGTCAGGATTAATGATGGAGATCAAACACTAGTAAATCCGTGTTACTGGATTAAGACCAGCTACTATCAACAAAAAAATTAAATCATTTTTTTTTCTATCAATCATAAGTGGTTTTAGCTATTTGAATGCATTTTTGACATTTTGGGAACATTTTGTGCAAAAAAAGCAAAATAAGTAAAATTAAACCCTCAAATCCGGTTTGAAATTAATCAAGATTTACATAAAAATTTCTTAAACCCACTCAAAACCGAAACAAATGAAATTCTTGTAATGGTCGATTATTTTCCTTTTATTACCTTTAATTTAAGATATCACACGGAAAAAATCGATTTGAAAATTAAAAGATATTACTGATTTAATTTTTAATCTATTGGATTTATTTATAATCCACCAGATTAAACACTATTTTTACTATATCTCGAGAACTAAGACGATTCACGCAAAGCGCCATAATTTTCGCTCAACCAGACAACAAGGGCTAAATTTTGACATATAAATAATTACTTTTGGATAAAACGGTGGACCTGTAGGTTGGGTGACAAAATTTGAACGACACCTTCCGTGTTCCACGCGGAAGCTAAAAATGCTAATATAGATATAAAATCGATATTTTTTGAAAATAGCCTACTATGATCGAGACCAAAAATGCTTTAAATTGCATTTCAAAACATATCTAGGTATTATAAATGATAAAGAATGCTAATATTGATATAAAATCGATATTTTTTGAAAATAGCCTACTATGATCAAAACCAAAAATGCTTTAAATTGCATTTCAAAACATATCTAGGTATTATAAATGATAAAGAATGCTAATATTGACATAAAATCGATATTTTTTGAAAATAGCCTACTATGATCGAGACCAAAAATGCTTTGAATTGCATTTCAAAACATATCTAGGTATTATAAATGATAAAGTATTCTATTATTGACATAAAATCGATATTTTTTGAAAAAAGCCTACTATAATCGAGACCAAAAATGCTTTAAATTGCATTTTAAAACATATCTAGGTATTATTAATGATAAAGTATTCTATTATTGACATAAAATCGATATTTTTTGAAAATAGCCTACTATGATCGAGACCAAAAATGCTTTAAATTGCATTTCAAAACATATCTAGGTATTATAAATGATTAAGAATGCTAATATTGACATAAAATCGATATTTTTTGAAAATAGCCTACTATGATCGAGACCAAAAATGCTTTAAATTGCATTTCAAAACATATCTAGGTATTATAAATGATAAAGAATGCTAATATTGACATAAAATCGATATTTTTTGAAAATAGCCTACTATGATCGAGACCAAAAATGCTTTAAATTGCATTTCAAAACATATCTAGGTATTATAAATGATAAAGTATTCTATTATTGACATAAAATCGATATTTTTTGAAAATAGCCTACTATAATCGAGACCAAAAATGCTTTAAATTGCATTTTAAAACATATCTAGGTATTATAAATGATTAAGAATGCTAATATTGACATAAAATCGATATTTTTTGAAAATAGTCTACTATGATCGAGACCAAAAATGCTTTAAATTGCATTTCAAAACATATCTAGGTATTAAAAATAATAAAGAATGCTAATATTGACATAAAATCGATATTTTTTGAAAACAGCCTACTATAATCGAGACCAAAAATGCTTTAAATTGCATTTTAAAACATATCTAGGTATTATAAATGATAAAGAATGCTATTATTGACATAAAATCGATATTTTTTGAAAATAGCCTACTATGATCAAAACCAAAAATGCTTTAAATTGCATTTTAAAACATATCTAGGTATTATAAATGATAAAGAATTCTATTATTGACATAAAATCGATATTTTTTGAACATAGCCTACTATGATCGAGACCAAAAATGCTTTAAATTGCATTTTAAAACATATCTAGGTATTATAAATGATAAAGAATGCTAATATTGACATAAAATCGATATTTTTTGAAAATAGCCTACTATGATCGAGACCAAAAATGCTTTAAATTGCATTTCAAAACATATCTAGGTATTATAAATGATAAAGAATTCTATTATTGACATAAAATCGATATTTTTTGAACATAGCCTACTATGATCGAGACCAAAAATGCTTTAAATTGCATTTTAAAACATATCTAGGTATTATAAATGATTAAGAATGCTAATATTGACATAAAATCGATATTTTTTGAAAATAGCCTACTATGATCAAAACCAAAAATGCTTCAAAATGCATTTCAAAACATATCTAGGTATTATAAATGATAAAGAATGCTAATATTGACATAAAATCGATATTTTTTGAAAATAGCCTACTATGATCAAAACCAAAAATGCTTCAAATTGCATTTCAAAACATATCTAGGTATTATAAATGATAACGAATGCTAATATTGACATAAAATCGATATTTTTTGAAAATAGCCTACTATGATCAAAACCAAAAATGCTTCAAATTGCATTTCAAAACATATCTAGGTATTTTAAATGATAAAGAATGCTAATATTGACATAAAATCGATATTTTTTGAACATAGCCTACTATGATCGAGACCAAAAATGCTTTAAATTGCATTTCAAAACATATCTAGGTATTTTAAATGATAAAGAATGCTAATATTGACATAAAATCGATATTTTTTGAAAATAGCCTACTATGATCAAAACCAAAAATGCTTCAAAATGCATTTCAAAACATATCTAGGCATTTTAAATGATAAAGAATGCTAATATTGACATAAAATCGATATTTTTTGAAAATAGCCTCCTATGATCAAAACCAAAAATGCTTCAAATTGCATTTCAAAACATATCTAGGTATTATAAATGATAAAGAATGCTAATATTGACATAAAATCGATATTTTTTGAAAATAGCCTACTATGATCGAGACCAAAAATGCTTTAAATTGCATTTCAAAACATATCTAGGTATTTTAAATGATAAAGAATGCTAATATTGACATAAAATCGATATTTTTTGAAAATAGCCTACTATGATCGAGACCAAAAATGCTTTAAATTGCATTTCAAAACATATCTAGGTATTTTAAATGATAAAGAATGCTAATATTGACATAAAATCGATATTTTTTGAAAATAGCCTCCTATGATCAAAACCAAAAATGCTTCAAATTGCATTTTAAAACATATCCAGGTATTATAAATGATAAAGAATGCTAATATTGACATAAAATCGATATTTTTTGAAAATAGCCTACTATGATCGAGACCAAAAATGCTTTAAATTGCATTTCAAAACATATCTAGGTATTTTAAATGATAAAGAATGCTAATGTTGTCATAAAATCGATATTTTTTGAAAATAGCCTACTATGATCGAGACCAAAAATGCTTTAAATTGCATTTCAAAACATATCTAGGTATTTTAAATGATATAGAATGCTAATGTTGTCATAAAATCGATATTTTTTGAAAATAGCCTACTATGATCAAAACCAAAAATGCTTCAAATTGCATTTCAAAACATATCTAGGTATTTTAAATGATAAAGAATGCTAATATTGACATAAAATCGATATTTTTTGAACATAGCCTACTATGATCGAGACCAAAAATGCTTTAAATTGCATTTCAAAACATATCTAGGTATTTTAAATGATAAAGAATGCTAATATTGACATAAAATCGATATTTTTTGAAAATAGCCTACTATGATCAAAACCAAAAATGCTTCAAAATGCATTTCAAAACATATCTAGGCATTTTAAATGATAAAGAATGCTAATATTGACATAAAATCGATATTTTTTGAAAATAGCCTCCTATGATCAAAACCAAAAATGCTTCAAATTGCATTTCAAAACATATCTAGGCATTTTAAATGATAAAGAATGCTAATATTGACATAAAATCGATATTTTTTGAAAATAGCCTACTATGATCGAGACCAAACATGCTTTAAATTGCATTTCAAAACATATCTAGGTATTTTAAATGATAAAGAATGCTAATATTGACATAAAATCGATATTTTTTGAAAATAGCCTACTATGATCGAGGCCAAAAATGCTTTAAATTGCATTTCAAAACATATCTAGGTATTTTAAATGATAAAGAATGCTAATATTGACATAAAATCGATATTTTTTGAAAATAGCCTACTATGATCAAAACCAAAAATGCTTCAAATTGCATTTCAAAACATATCTAGGTATTTTAAATGATAAAGAATGCTAATATTGACATAAAATCGATATTTTTTGAACATAGCCTACTATGATCGAGACCAAAAATGCTTTAAATTGCATTTCAAAACATATCTAGGTATTTTAAATGATAAAGAATGCTAATATTGACATAAAATCGATATTTTTTGAAAATAGCCTACTATGATCAAAACCAAAAATGCTTCAAAATGCATTTCAAAACATATCTAGGCATTTTAAATGATAAAGAATGCTAATATTGACATAAAATCGATATTTTTTGAAAATAGCCTACTATGATCGAGACCAAACATGCTTTAAATTGCATTTCAAAACATATCTAGGTATTATAAATGATAAAGAATGCTATTATTGACATAAAATCGATATTTTTTGAAAATAGCCTACTATGATCGAGACCAAAAATGCTTTAAATTGCATTTCAAAACATATCCAGGTATTTTAAATGATAAAGAATGCTAATATTGACATAAAATCGATATTTTTTGAAAATAGCCTACTATGATCAAAACCAAAAATGCTTCAAAATGCATTTCAAAACATATCTAGGTATTATAAATGATAAAGAATGCTAATATTGACATAAAATCGATATTTTTTGAAAATAGCCTACTATGATCGAGACCAAAAATGCTTTAAATTGCATTTCAAAACATATCTAGGTATTTTAAATGATAAAGAATGCTAATATTGACATAAAATCGATATTTTTTGAAAATAGCCTACTATGATCAAAACCAAAAATGCTTCAAAATGCATTTCAAAACATATCTAGGTATTTTAAATGATAAAGAATGCTAATATTGACATAAAATCGATATTTTTTGAAAATAGCCTACTATGATCAAAACCAAAAATGCTTCAAATTGCATTTCAAAACATATCTAGGTATTTTAAATGATAAAGAATGCTAATATTGACATAAAATCGATATTTTTTGAACATAGCCTACTATGATCGAGACCAAAAATGCTTTAAATTGCATTTCAAAACATATCTAGGTATTTTAAATGATAAAGAATGCTAATATTGACATAAAATCGATATTTTTTGAAAATAGCCTACTATGATCAAAACCAAAAATGCTTCAAATTGCATTTCAAAACATATCTAGGTATTTTAAATGATAAAGAATGCTAATATTGACATAAAATCGATATTTTTTGAAAATAGCCTACTATGATCAAAACCAAAAATGCTTCAAAATGCATTTCAAAACATATCTAGGCATTTTAAATGATAAAGAATGCTAATATTGACATAAAATCGATATTTTTTGAAAATAGCCTACTATGATCGAGACCAAACATGCTTTAAATTGCATTTCAAAACATATCTAGGTATTATAAATGATAAAGAATGCTATTATTGACATAAAATCGATATTTTTTGAAAATAGCCTACTATGATCGAGACCAAACATGCTTTAAATTGCATTTCAAAACATATCTAGGTATTATAAATGATAAAGAATGCTATTATTGACATAAAATCGATATTTTTTGAAAATAGCCTACTATGATCGAGACCAAAAATGCTTTAAATTGCATTTCAAAACATATCTAGGTATTTTAAATGATAAAGAATGCTAATATTGACATAAAATCGATATTTTTTGAAAATAGCCTACTATGATCAAAACCAAAAATGCTTCAAAATGCATTTCAAAACATATCTAGGTATTTTAAATGATAAAGAATGCTAATATTGACATAAAATCGATATTTTTTGAAAATAGCCTACTATGATCAAAACCAAAAATGCTTCAAATTGCATTTCAAAACATATCTAGGTATTTTAAATGATAAAGAATGCTAATATTGACATAAAATCGATATTTTTTGAACATAGCCTACTATGATCGAGACCAAAAATGCTTTAAATTGCATTTCAAAACATATCTAGGTATTTTAAATGATAAAGAATGCTAATATTGACATAAAATCGATATTTTTTGAAAATAGCCTACTATGATCAAAACCAAAAATGCTTCAAATTGCATTTCAAAACATATCTAGGTATTATAAATGATAACGAATGCTAATATTGACATAAAATCGATATTTTTTGAAAATAGCCTACTATGATCAAAACCAAAAATGCTTCAAATTGCATTTCAAAACATATCTAGGTATTATAAATGATAACGAATGCTAATATTGACATAAAATCGATATTTTTTGAAAATAGCCTACTATGATCAAAACCAAAAATGCTTTAAATTGTATTTCAAAACATATCTAGGTATTATAAATGATAAAGAATGCTAATATTGACATAAAATCGATATTTTTTGAAAATAGCCTACTATGATCGAGACCAAAAATGCATTAAATTGCATTTCAAAACATATCTAGGTATTATAAATGATAAAGAATGCTAATATTGACATAAAATCGATATTTTTTGAAAATAGCCTACTATGATCGAGACCAAAAATGCTTTAAATTGCATTTTAAAACGATGCTGCTTTAAATCACTTGAAACGAACAACCACCGAACAATCTATTTCAAATCACCCGTTAAATGAAAATCACGGGATTTCATAAACACCGCTTGGAAATGTTAGCGGTGGTTTTGAAAAACAATGATTTTCAAATCCACCGCTAATAATTCCAAGCGATGGAAAAAATCACAAGTGTGTTTATAATCACCGCCTGTATTTAAAGGCGGTGGTTATGAGATCACGTGTGATTTATTTCACCCGAAATTTTCGACAATCGGGTGATTTGAAATGTCGTGTATTAATTTTTCGTACCTATTTTTCTTATACAGTAGCGTGCTAAAGTGAGTGGACAGAACAAATTTTTTAATAATTTCGTTCAAAAAGTATCTTCCACTAAACGAAATCACTTCAAATTTTCACAGCATATCTAATTTTTGATGAGATTTCATATGCAAAACAAAATTTGTACTATAATTAAGTAATTTGAAAAAACCGTTAAATATTCAAAATCGATAACGTGTAAAAGTGTGTGGACAATTTTCAATGACAAAAAAATGTGTTAATAGGTAACTTTTTAAGATGGAAATCTAAAGTTTTGACGATTTTCTTAATTTACGTTCAAAAATTTTCCACCAAAACCACGTGTTTTTCGATTTTTCTTAAATTCAAAATGGCTACTATTTTTTTTATGACTTTTAAGCAAATATGTCATTTAATTCAATCTTAATTAACTTAGACTTAACTGATTTATATAGTGTTTTTAATAAGCTTTCAGAATATACATAGTTTATTATAGTAAAAGTTGATGTTATGCCAAAAAAATTATGACATATTATTTTCATTGTCGATTTTTGCACAGTCCAGAACATTACATTGAGGAAATCTTGATAAATACTTTAGATATTTAAGACTTTTTGGTATCAATTTATTGCATTTTATTTGTACAACATTATATAAGTAATTTCAGTTTACTAAAATAATTATCCATGAAGTAACAAGCTGTCAAATAGTATGTCAATTGAGCGTCTCAAATAATGAAAAATAAATTTTTGCAAACTTAACTTTTTGTCTTGAAAACTTTATTACAATATACAAGAACTTTAAATTTTACAACAAAAATAAAATTGGTAAAAAGTTCTAGATTTTAAGCTTAAAAAAATCACAGACATATTTTTCAATTCAAATACAATCTATGTTCTTTATTATATCTTTAAATTAAAAGGCATGCAAAAAACTCTGAACTTAGTCGACATTATTTGGATCGATTTGTTCAGCTGAGCTGCACAATGCTGGATAATTTGGATTATTGCCAGTTTTACATTTTGAAGCTGGTGGACCTGAGATGTAAGCCTTGCTTGGGTAGTTTCCAAATGAGTAGTTGCAAACAACATAAACAATATCATTTCCTTGGTACTTGAATTTTCCACCTGCACATCCAACTCTATTAGCTTTGTCTCTAACAACTTGCGTAAAATGTCCATTTCTTAAGTAGTCACAGCAGTTGTCGATGTCTGATTGAGTTGAGACTGAAATTTCTCCATACCATGCATTTACAGCTACTTCAGCATTTGCTCCCATGTCTTCGTCGTATCCTTGGAAAATATTTTGTCCAGCATGCTTCATATCGTCGGTGTTATGGCAATCATGTTCAATCTTGCATCTGAAGACATTAAGGATTGCATATTCAGCTAGAGTATCGTCCCATTCCTGAAAATTGATTTTGATCCTTGCAGTCAATAAATAATGTTAATGCAGGAACTTACCATTGTAGCCATATTTGCAGCTGTGTTGAATCCTGGAGATCCACCACTAGCAATCTTATTCCTGTATTTGTTGTGGGCATCGACCCATTTTTGTTTGATATCGTCGGTGAACTCGATGATACGAGCACCTTCATTACAGCCTTTTTTGAATGTTGCTGAATCTTTGAAGTCACAAGTGATGTGTCTGTATGATTCAAGATCACACTTGTCGGTCTTGCAATAGTTTTGGATTGCACATGATGCAATTCCAATTGAGATGGTAATAAGGACGAACTTCAACATGGTTCTGTGTGAATTTGAGGATATTGAGTTAAGGATTGCAAGTAAAAAGGATCAAGTTGATAGTTTGAAATTTTCAAAATTTCTAGCTTTCAATTTACTAATTCTAAATTTGTTCTTACCTTTTTTAAAAAGATTTGATTCAGAACTACTTGAAAAGCTGCAAGTAACTGATGATTTTAGGTTCAATTTTTAATGTTTTTATAGTCAGAATATCTCAATTGATAAGAATCTATTATTCCTTGATCATCTTTAATTCTCAAATGTAAGGCTTTCAATTGTATCAATAATTATCAATTTTGCATAAAATAAATTAAAATGATTTTGAATATGCAAAGTGCTTAAATGCTTAATGAGAAGGCAGCAGAAAGTATACAAATTGTTCTGAGGAAAAAAGGTTCTAATTAAACTGTCCTTCTGAAATCATGTAATTATCAAGGCAATAAAATCAATATCATGTGAATCTTTCAACCATCTAGATTGTGCTTCATACTCAAAATATATTCGAATTGACAGATTCATTGATTCATTTATTCGCTGATCGTATAGATCAATTGTGATCCATGATCTCCCTTAGTCGTCCCCTAAAACAAGCTCTATCGCTGGCTACCGTCTGCCAATTGCTGATTCCAAATGCAACAATGTCTCTTTCAACAGCCTCTTTCCATGAGTTCTTTGGCTTTCCACGTGATGAGGACACATTGATTGTTAAGACACAGAAGCTGCTAATACTGACACACTTAAGATATTCACCAGATACAGCAGTGCGCTGCAAAGTGTAGTTTGAGAACCATTAATTTGAAGGCATGAACATCGGATGAAAAATTCTTTTTTTCCGATCTGTGCCTAATGAATAAAATAATAATGTCCATTCCTTGATTGATTTACTGAGATCCAGATCTGAGATTATTAATAAGCTGGAGGCACTAGCAATCTTAGTCGCCAATTGAATCGATCTTACTCTTTATGGGTTAGGTTAGTTCTAGGCTAGCTTCTGACATTTGATATTTGTCATAAATCTGAAAACTTGGATACTTCTGACAAATTAAGTGCCGCATTGCACAAAATCATTACTACTGTTATCGAACATCCAATTTATTAAAAATTTAACACTTTAACAACATCTTGTTTCCAACATGAGACTACCGTGGGAGAAATCTTAACAAGTGCAATTAATTTTTACATAACACTTTGTTTCCAATACGTACAGCACCAATTAATTTAGTTCACACGATCTACACGTTTCAGTTAATTTGTTATCGATTTGAGCTTAACAGCTGCAGTTACCAGGCTAGTCTACACGTGTCATTGAAAGCTGTTACATTTTTAATTACAAAGTTGGCTTTTAAAGATCGATTCTACTATTTTGGACAGCATGTGATAGCAATACGTGATATTACCATCAGTGTCAAGCTCATCACAAAACTGACATTTATAAGTCATTATGATTTGATATAATTCCATATTAAGCATCTTCCTTGCCTTGACCATGCATCTTTATGTGACATAAATGACTCACTATGGCTTATTTATAATCATATCAATTTTAATGAACATATCAAGTTTTACACATGGCATGAAATCTCTAATCAGGCAAAGAATTACATCACAAATGCTAACGATTATGCTAATGCTGTTTGCAATAAAATAAGACCTTTACATTGAACGGAAGTTACATTTTCAAGGTCTTCATCAATAAAATATTCAAATGCGTTTCTCAATATGCATTTTGGTGCTTCAGTTATGGATTGTGTGCATAAATTAAGCAGCACCGTTGTTGTGCTACGAAGCCATGGCATTGAGGATGCCAGTGACCAAAAAACTTATGTTTTTTAAGATTCATGAGTTTTTTTTTTGGTGACAAATCAAGACACAAGATCACATCCAATTAATTAACAATATTAAACTTTATTTACATAGAAACTTATCTTTGGATATATACAGCATATTAAAAATACTTTGAACTACAAATATTTTACTGATTAGCCCAATCACGTTTAATTAGATCAGCTGCTTTTTCACCTAGAAAATTAAAATATGAAGGCATAGCACTTAAGATATTAGATAAGATAATTACCGATCATTACAGATATTGCATTCGTGTGCGCTGTTGGAGATTCCGGAACAATTGATGTATCAACAACGCGTAATCGACTAACTCCATGAACTTTTAATTCTGGGTCGACGACCGCTGTGGGATCTGTGATTGGTCCCATTTTGGATGTTCCGACTTGATGTTGAATTGAAAATGCCATCATTCGAATGACACATCTCCAGTAATTATCTGATGCGAAATGAAGGTATGCACATTGTGGTAAAGGAATCGAATGAAGTCTAGTTCCAAAACGTTGAAATGGCTCTTGTTGTATTAACTTTAAAACATATTTAATGCCATATAAAATAGTTTCAACATCTTCTGGATCATCCAAGAGATTCTCGTAGATTTTTGGATCATCTAAAGGATTTGCACTTGGAATTCTCACACGACCAGTTGACTTTGGATGGAACATCATCAATGAAATCATAAAAATGTCTTTTCTCGTTCCTTCCATTGGCTTATAGACTCTATCGTATATTTCTCTTTGCATTCTCCCGCCATTCACAATTCCAAAGCCTCTGTCAAAGTGAACGCCTCCGGGGATGAATATCAATTCAATATCAGGAACATTCGGTCCAAAACTGTTATTTGTCGGTACTTTGATAAAACTGAAGCCTTCAACGCCACTTGGTAAGGTCATTAACCCTCGTCCACTGAAGAATTGAAAAAAATTGTTGAGGTAGGTCATGAATGGAAAGTTTAAAGTCTTGTTCGTAACAAAAGTCAGTTCGGCAAGTGCAACGTGATCATGCATATTATCACCTACGGGAAGGTCTTTAATCACTGGAATTCCGAGCTGCTCTAATGATTCTTTCTTTCCAATCCCAGATAATGTTAAAAGTTGCGGAGTATGAAAAGTTCCAGATGATAAAATTACTTCCCTTTTAGCTATTACATTAAAGTTCTTATCATTCCTTCGGAATCGAACACCATAAGCATTTTTAGTTGTTGGATCAATCAAGATTTTCGTTACTCTCGTGTTTACTAAAATATGCAAATTAGGTCTATGAAGTATTGGCTCTAAAAATGCTTTATATGCTGAATGTCTCTGTCCATTTAAAACATTTGATTGCACATATGAGACACCCATATTTTGGTCACTGTTGTAATCTACTTCTTGCATGCCCATCATTTTATTTGCTACCATAAAAGCTTCAACAAATGGTGTTCGGTCTTTGTTGAAGGATACACTCCACGGGCCATTTTTATTGTGAAAAGGAGAGTATGAATATTTCCCTATGCTAGCCTTTTCTGACTTCATAAAGTATGGCAACACTTCGTTATAGCTCCATCCATAATTTCCAGCTTCTGCCCATCTATCAAAATCTCTTGGATTTCCTCGAGTATGCATCATAAAGTTAATTACACTGGAACCGCCTAAAGCTTTTCCTCTCGGTGTTGCACATCGACTTCCTTGTCGTCCTAATAAAATTCCTAATGATAAGCTATGGATTTTATTTATTTTTGATAACTTCTTACCTGTACAAGCATTTTTCTGGGGCTCAGCAGCATATCCCCAGTTGTACTTTGAGAAGACAAGGTAAGGAGCTGCAACAGGAATACTTTGGAAAGGTGTTTCAACATCTCCTGCTTCTATTATAAGCACTCGCCAGTTGGGATTTTCTGTTAATCGATTTGCTAGGGCACATCCACCTAAATTAATGGAATATCAAAGTTTTGGATTATTTATATACGCATGTTCGTAAATGATGTCCAAAAATCAAGGTTAAGGGCTAAAATTAAGCTGAATGGCACATCGAGAGTCGAAAAAATATTTCTTTTTGCATTCTTGGACACAGAATAAAGCAATGTACAATCAAAAAGAGATTGATGATGTTTTCAAGTTGAGAGCGTCATTTATAGACGTCACAACTTTACTACATTACAAACAATTCAAAAAATTAGAGAAATGCAGATTAACGACATCGATGATGAAAACTTTTTCAATTAATTAAATTATGATTGATTACCTGGACCTGATCCCGCTATGATGAAATCATACTGGTTGTAATATCGGTTCTCTGTAATGTAACAATTTTTTTTTGGAAATTTCGTTAAACTGTTGGATTGAGTGTTAAGTAATTTTTTCAAATGTCACGAACTAGAGTCATGAAGAAGTAAGTCATCATTAATCAAACTTTTTGGACGAGATATTCTGTAGGATTTTTATCCATCACAAAAGAAAGTCTGATCTGTTGCCTAATCACTTGACGATATAAGCTTCATTCCCACACTAGCCTTAGAATGATTAAATAGCCTAGATTCCACCCAATTCATACACCATACTCAGTATTATCAATTAAAATCAACAGACACCAACAACTCGAGACAGTCTACTTATTACAAAAACATTGGAAAGGAGATTTAATGTCCGAAGAAGTTATGCAATTAATTATTTTTGCGCAGCTAGACCGAAGATCCATTCAAACTTTAAGTGAGGATGGACTTGTTCTTCAAGTTTTTTATTTGCGCACCGATTTCAATTCTGGAATGTTTTTGTGCACTTTGAATCGTTAAAATATTCTTCTTAATCCCGAGTGGTACTAGAGTCATAGATCACCTTACTAAGTTGATGATAAAGCATCATGTCAGCCCTGACGGTTGTTTAACAGCATGCATTAAGATTTAATTAATTATGCTGATCAATGCTGCTGCCAACCATCCAAACCGATTATTTAAAGAGCACTTGACAATTTTATTTACCTTCTACATGACTTCGATCTAATCCAAATAGGAACAAATTCTCACTAGCGACTTGACGCCTCTCGCGACTATTTGTATTATTTTCTAAGCAGTTCCCATTCCGAAAGTAAAGACCTATTGTCAACAGAAGTAAAGTTATTTCAGACTTCATGCCAATAAATATTTTTTAAGGCAGTAAGACACACGCGTGTGTGAACGGGATGAAGTTTTAACAAAAACTAAAGCTTCAGTTTGTATGATTCAATTTATCGGTCGCATAAACCCCCGAAAATATGTTTCAGATATGGTTGGAGGTTAAACACAAGTTTGTCTGTAACATAAAAAATTATCAAGCGCCCATCCATGGCATTGGCAAATAAGATCAATAAATATGTTTACGAGCACAATACTTTCCACAGATGCCAATATTTACATATTTTTCGCGCTCATCAAAAGCCGACAGTATTGCAGATCACTCGATCACGTCCGCATAATTGGAATGAGTTTGTATCATATAAATACTCAATATTAAGTGAGAGGGAAAGATGTAAACAAAAGTAAGCAGACTGCATTGACGAAGAAGATGCAAAACGTAATAGGAAACCAGACAAGGTTATTGCTGCTGTTGTGATTATCGTCTTTATATTGTTGATTAATTCAATAAAATGTAAAATAACAAAATCAGCTGTTTCGTCGTTGATACTTTAATGTTGACATAATTTTTTTGTGATGCTTATTTGGTTTGAGTTGCTGTTGACTCCGGTTTTTATGTTTGCTGGAATTTTGAAGCTTAATTTAAATTCAACAGTTTTCAGAATTTTGAAATTTTTCATTGGATGTAAAATTTGAGTATTAACCGTTAAATTTTGAAAATTCAAAAAAGTCGTTATTTTTTTGAATTTAAGCTTTTAATTTTTAAAAATCAGCCATTTTTAACATTCATTAAAATGCGCTTTTGAAATCCATGACTTATATCATCAAAACCTTACTCAGACATTGTGTAAAAGCCACGAAATTCGAGCATAACTTAATCCCGTCTGTAATCAAAAGAGATAACATTTTTATGGACATAATATGAATAATAAACACTGTTTTGGATGGCAATAAATGTGGGATGCTGACAAGTTTGTTGACTTAGGTTAGTTACGGTTGGAGCACTTGATCAAATTAACCTTTTTGTAATTTTTATGTTGCTATATCCAATGCATGCAAAAATAAATGTTTTAATGACAAAAGTTGTGACTTAATTAAACGCAGGTAGTCGCAAATTATTAATAACGAAGAAATAAATAAAAAGCCCAGATAATTAATGATGTGTGCATGATTGAACCTACAACGCTAATAGCGATAAAACAGCATGATTATTGTTGTTTGTTTAATTTCATCAAAATCTCATTCATGTAAAATTGAACCTTCTTGTATGACTTAAAGTACGTTTTGTGTTATTTTCAGCCACACTTACATAATACCGTCTGCAAAAATCATATGAAGTCTCAAGTACATGCGAGTTTTTATACCTTTCAGATTGTATTAACTGACAAACAGTCGACTTTCATTAAAAATGCAGCAATCGAATTTGCGTATCATATTGGCTATATCTTATTGCATTTATGATTTTATGCCTTAATTTACCCACAAAAATAGTATTCGAAGTATGTCAATTGTTATTGCCAAGTTTATTTTGGTATGCAGTCGTTAAATCTGATTTTTATGCAATTTTAAATGCCAAACTATCACTGGATGTTTCGAAAGAGATCCATATTGTGCACTAGACTACAATTTAACGATTCCTTCACGTTGATCAGAACAAGATACATGCCAAAATAGCATCCACGAATCTTTAATTTTTTGATTTCTTTATTAAATTCCTACTAATCCTATTTTAACTCATTTACAGCATAATAATTTACTGTGTCACGGCAACATCGACCTTCTTTTCACTTTCTTCCTTAACCTCAGGCTCTGGCTCTAAGACATAAGTTATTGGACGTGGTTCTCTTGCCTTCATCCAGTCTGGGATAATTTTATCGTGCAACTTCCATACTCCATACAGATTAGCTAAATGTTTTTCAAATACGACATATTCTAAGACATCCTTTGCAATTATTTCACTTCCGTGCATTAATCGTCCGAATCGATCATAAATGGCAAGAGTTTGTTGAGTATGGAACCGAACTGTAATTTGACCAAAAAGATTTTCCTTTGAAATCATTTCTGTGCATCGAGCATGAATGATTTTTGGTGGTTCCAGTGACTTGATGAATCTCCATCTTAGTGTCTTGTTCTTTGAATTGTGCATCATTTCTGGATATACACGTTCTGTGACGAGTTCTCTTAGCTTATGCTTATCATTGTTTGCCAGTGCTTCATGTGCCTTTAAATAAATGTCTTGGGCATGAACAGCGAATTCTTTTGTATCAAAATCCTCGTCATAGCTTCTAATTTTTCGTACGGCATTCCATGACTTTCCTTTCTTCTCAACAAATTCAGCTTTTTCCTTTAAAACTCCGGTTATGGAACTAGTTTTGCCATCGCCTTCTGCTGGCACGTAAGGCTCGAATATACCTCCAGTTGCTGAGATATAAAATGGACGTTCCATGTATGGTCTTGGTGGTAAAATTCCTCGTTTCTTCATTTTGGATCTTCGTTCGTCCGGTGTCAATTCCTCAATAGTGCTCTCATTTAAATCAGGAATTTCCATTTTAATGAATTTTTGTGCACGCATTCGTTTCCATTTTGGATTCCAGTGACGATTGTTGATTTTATGACGGCATTGAATTGGTAGGATTTGAGAAGCAGCAGCAAGGATTGAAGTATTCGGTAGCTGTAAAAAATTGTGTAAGAATATTAATTTGTATTTTTCCATTATTTTAATCGACAAACCTGCAAGAATTTAATTCCACTGGTTAGCGTTAATGCTACTCTCGACATTTAACTAATTTGATATATTAATTACACTTTAATTAAGCCAGAAACACAAATATTAATATTTTTGAATTGTTCCTGCACATTTGTTTTGCGTTTGCGGCTGAAAAGCTGAGCGTCACAGTTGAAATAATTTCAAAATTTAAAAAAACCGTTAAAGTAATTAATAAGCTTCCGCGTGAAGCATGATAGGTGCTTTTATTTTGATTTTTTATTTGAGTCTTGCTGCTTTGAACTCTCACCACGTTTCCTCTTATTTATAGGATTTCTTGGATCATAGATGTCATACCAATCATCAGCTTTCTTCGATGCATCTCTAGCAAGTACAGCATCTTGACTTTCAGAGAAATCCAACTTATGTCCGAGCCAATTTTCGTCATCTGAATTTTCATTGTCAATTTTTTTCGTTGGTTCGGCTGAATGAAGCTTCTGTTTGAATTTTTCAAGCAATGCCATTGTCTGTGCCTCTCTTGATGATCCTTTAGACTTGACTTTACAGCTCTTGTATTTTTCTTTCTCCTCTAAATAGCTTTTAATTGCATTATTTTCTGGATTTTCAGGTTTTGGCTCTTCTACCTGCTTTTCAATAGTTTTGTCCTTTCTATCGCTGTGATATTGCTTCTTTAGGTCTTTAATTTGATCCTGTATCTCCTTTCGTTTCTTCTCAAGCTCAGACATTTTCTGTTTTTTCATCGATTCCTCAAAATCACTATCTGAATCCTCGTCATACGTAACGACTTTCTCAGGCTCCTTAGGCGGTGTATTTCGTTTTGGAAGTGGTGGTGTTCTGGATCTTTTTAGATCCTTTTCTTGTTTATCTTTAGATTTATCTTTTTTCCAGCTTGATGAACTTGATTGCTCAATTTTCTTTGACTTTGTAGTCACAACTTCCATTTCATCTTGTTCAGCTTCCTCGCCAAAAGATATAAGCTTAAAATTTTTAACGCCTTCTTTTTTGGATTTCTTCTTGCTACTTTCTTCATCTTTTGCGCTGGATGTTTTGTCATGCCGAGGTTTGATATCAGGAAATGGATTGTTTAATATTTTTACTTTATTAATCTTATGAGGATAAATGACTCGATCGTTAGGATCAGTTTGGGAATCATTAAGCTTAATCATGTTGTAAATTGTGTCTCCTGTAACTTTACCAAATATCGTATGTGTATTTTGTAGTTCTGGCGTTTGATCCAGTGTGAAGAAGAATTGCATATTATTGTCACTTCCTTCATTTGTAGCCATTCCACACAGTCCACGACGTGAAAACCGTAATCTTGAGTGAAATTCATTTCTTATTGGCTCAATCAAGTCTGCATTCTCAGAATTTTCACCTCCTTGAACTATGAAGCTCTTCACTAGACGATGAAAGATCGTGCCATTGTAAAATCCATCGAGACATAGTTGAACCTGTGTGGATTGTTAATTAATTAATACTTATTTTCACGGTTTAATCGAATTATTTAACTTACAAAATTTCTGCAGGTTTTTGGAGCTTCCTTTGACCATAATTCGATTTCTATCTCACCGACCGTTGTCTTTAATAGTACTTTTCCATTTGATGGAGGTTCTTGGATGTATATATTACTCATTTTAGCTGCTTTTAATAAAATTAACGAATTTCAATTTGTTTGTTTTGATTTTTTGAACTTTGTATTACCCGATTCGAAAAAATCTCATTTAACTGTCAATATAAATTTGAATTTGAATTCAAAAATTGATCAACTCGTGTATTAACACGCGGTGCTTCTTAAATTCAGAAAAATTAAGATTCTAGTGTAATTAAGGAACGTTTAATAATGGGTAAGACAAAAAAGGGTAAATCAAAGCCCCACAAAAAGAATCCAACAGGATTGCAATCACTGCGAGATCTAGAAAATGAAGGAGATGGTTCAACATCCAGCGGACCAATTAATACCATAATCGACCAACTTCAAAGTGCCAGCAATGATGAGAAAATGTGTGGATTACAGTCATTATCGACATTATGTCAAAGAGAACTGAATATTAAGCAAATTATTGATAGTGATTTAGTCAGAATTGCAGCACCATTATTAATAGATCCAGACATAAATGTGCGACAAGCATGTTCTGGATGTCTTCGAAATTTATCCTGTATATCCGTAGAGATTTGTGAGAGATTAGTAGAACAAGATGTATTCACACCACTTCAAACGCTGTTATGTCAATATGCCAATAATGAATGGTTGCCAACAAATGATAAGAAAGTTGATGTGCTGGATCAAAAATCAGATACGTTTCTACAGGCAGTCAATATCATGTGGAATTTATGTGAAAGTACCTCAGTTGCATTAGAGTTTTTCAATCAGTCACAATTACTGCAGAGTTTTGTACGATGTCTGGATCATGAGAAATTTGGAATGGAAATCTGTGAGTTAAAACCTTAATTCTAACTTACTGGATGTGCTTATTTATGATTTATCATTTTCAGCTATATCAACTGCTCAATGTTTATTAGTCATATCTGAAGATAATCCAGCAGCTTGGAGAATTTTAGCAGAATTCGTGTCAGTCTTTCAAAATGTCCTTAAACTTGAAGGCACAGACTACAAAACAGTAATACTTCGTACAGTCGTTGCTGGAGTAGCATCAAATGTCCCAGCACTTACCGTCCAATGTCTACATCCAATAATTGAGACACTCAGTAAAACAATCGAAATTAATCACAGACAAGTCTTGAACGAACTTACAAGCCGTTTACCATTAAATGAAAATGAAACACAAGAACCAACAGCAGTCGAAATTGTAGACGATGAAATGAGAGAGGAATCAGAAGCAGATGCATCAGCACGTAGATTAAGGGAAGATTTGCCAACAGAACTAGATAATGACATTAAAAATGTTGGATATTTATTATCAGCACAAAGGACGGCAAGTGAAATATTAACAAACATTTGTTCGTCTGAAGGAAGTGAATCAAAAGATGAAATGGAAGATATATCAGATGCAGAAAGTGTCCACGACTATGATATTAATGAGCATCAAAACGGTAATGGAATTTGCGAAGATAAAATCCCAGTCGAAATGACAGAAGCGATCAAAGCACATAAAATTGTGGAAAAAGTAAGTTTTTACATTCTATCCTTCCTAAGTTCGATTCTCGTCACAAACGCCAAAGTTAGTCAGCAGCTTGAACTTTTTCAATAGAACAATCAGCGTTACACTTTTGGCATATTAGAAGCTTCATTGCGACTATACTTCTTGGGATTTCCGTTAAAACTGTTTTAGTTTGGAATGAACTGGAAGTGCAGTGAAGCAACGTCTTGTAGAGTATGTTGAAATATTGTTCGACAATTTCAACGTTAGTGCTAAGACAAACACCTTCTTAACGAATTTTGTAGAATTCGAATTTTTTACAACAGAAAAGTTTTAAATGTTTGAAACCCGTTAAATTTTTGAAATTTTCAAATACGTTAAATTAAAAGTTTTTTTTCTCGCATCAATCCTAATCATATTTAATTATTACTTTTAAAGCTATGGGCACGATCACAGCCACTTGCAGAAAACGTTAAAGCAATCCTAATGACATCAGAAAAGAACCTTTATAAGCGTCAAAATTCACTGAGAATATCAACGCTAATTTGTCTTCATAATCTATGTAACGTAATGACAACAGAGGAATTAGGTGGAGCAACAGCAATCTATAATGTATGGCTGGATTTAGGACAACAAATATTCCAAATTCAGCAAGATTATGAAAGTTTAGAAGCTTCAACATCGCTTATGCGCGCCACATTAGAGCATTTAAAGAAATCTCGAGATCTGTTCCAACAAGTATCTGACAGTGACTTGCAATTAATTCTCGATGGCATTCAAAATTGTGATAAATCAGAAGTCAGAGCTAATTGGTTGCGAATGCTTGGCTCATTAGGATGCTTGCTTGCTGAACCGCTTGTTAAAAAGATCACAGACTTTATGTTGGAAACGACGATAAAAGAAGACGATGTTTGGACAATATCGGAAGCACTCGACAGTTTTATGGACATGTTCTCTGATAATGACTGGAATCAAATAGTGCATGAGTTGAATGTGGTACCAAAATCAAAGGAACTGGAAAAAATTCTTAAGACTAAGGTAAGCTGAACTTTTTAAAAAGCTGTTATTTTTTTGAATTCTGAAAACCACAAAAATTTGAATCTCAAATTTATAATAAAACATTTAAAGATGAAGCAGCGAAAGCGTGAGCTAGGAGATCGATATCCAGCAATTGTGACGATAAAGACCAATTTTACCAGATTCTGTAAATACCTGGAGACGCAACAAAAAAGTTTTGTTCCAAATCCAACAACATGAACATGTTCCTTGAACTGAATTAATTGTTAACCATTTGAAATGCAAATGAATTAAAAAGTATAAAAGTTTGAATATTCATACGTTAAATTGAGCTTTATTGACTTGACTAGGGAATACTTGAATATTTTATTTATTTTTACAGTTTCAACAGCTTAAAAGTTTTTTAAAAGACAAAAATTGAAAATATAAATTATTTAAAATTAAGCAATTGCTGCAACTTCCTTTACATTACCCTCCTTGGCTTAGGTATTGGATTTATATCATCCCTACTTAGTCGTTCGTGAGGAAATGAAGTTGAATTATTGTTTGTGTCTCGTTCGCTTACTGGGAATTTATGTGAACGTCGGATGTCCGCATTTTCCTTACTGAAATCTTGTAAGTCATCAAGAAGTATATTAATTCTTCTTTCACTCTCAGCTTGTCGCTGAAGTTTAAGTAAAACATTATCTTTTGGTGCTACTGCTGGTTTTTCATGGTACGAGAACTTTTGCTCTCCAAAATTATACTTCTTCCTTGGAAGTTGTGGCGATGGAGGCTGATTAATTCTTAATAATTGCTGTGAGCGATTTATCGACTCAATTATGTCTTTAACTGAACGTCGACGCTCTGGAACTTTTGGTGGTTGATCCTCATTCCTTAGCACCACCTCATCATCCTCGTTCTGTGAGCTTTGGCGATAGACAACGCATTTTTCAAAATCATTATACTTGACAGGCTTATCAACTTTTATAAAACCTTGTGATGTTAATTTACTTTCGATTTCAGTTCGTGCCAATGGAATTGGTGTTCGATCTCTTCTTGGCTCCTTTATCGGAGGAGACTGACTCAATGTTTTCGTATGGATTTCTCGTTCATAGATTATTGGAGAAGACTGACTCAATGTTTTCGTTTGGATCTCTCGTTCAACGATTAATGGAGGTAACTGACTCACTTTTGTCGTCTGAATTGGCTGGATCTCTCGTTCAGTGATTATTGGAGTTGAATGACTCCCTTTTTTCGTCTGGATTTCTCGTTCAACAACGATTGGAGGTGATGACGATCTCTCTTTGGGCTTAATTACTTTTATTTCTTGAACTTGTGTATTGACTATCAATTTTTCTTCCTTAATGTCCTCAGGCTTCTTATAATCATACTCATTCTCTTCTATTCTTAAAACATCAAATTTCTCGCGAACTGGAACTGGAATATAATCAGGCGTCTCCTCGCGAGAAGGCGTAGGAGTGGGCGTAATGCGTTGAAACTCTGGAAATTTGCGTATTTCTGTTGTTATTTCATGAACTTCTAGGGTTTGTATTTCAGGACTTAATTCTCTACTTCTTGATTTTTCTGCCTCAACTTTTTCAATTTGTAAAGTTTTATTGTTGTTTACTTCTTCTAGTGCTTCCTTTATCCTCAACTCATCCTCCTTTATTTTCAATTCAATCTCCTTAATCTTTAAATCTTCTTGAATAATTGCAATCGTCTTATCCACCGATTCTATTTCGTCTCGTACAATCACGTGATGTTCTGTTATTCTTTCGACATTTTCAGTCGTTGACGGTGATTGTATTTTTTCAGCATTTAAAGATATTGTTCTCTCTACATCCACAGACATTTGCGGGGTTTCTTCTTTTTCCACATGCCTTGATTGACTTCTTTCAACAGTCATTATCTCTTGATTTTCAGCTTTTTTCTCATGTTTGGTGATTACTTCATCTTCATCGATAATTAATTTTGTTTGATGCTGCTGCTGATGAGTGTCATTCTGTGAGTTTTTAACAAAGCTTTCAAATTCAGCCGTCAGTCGACTCAGTTCATCTAATCCATTATTGCTATCTCCATTCTCAGTTATTCTTATTTGAATATTTTCATTCTCGGAAGTGCCTTTAGGAATCTGTAAATAAGAAAAGTATGCGCGTGTTACTTAATGTACATTTTTTTTTGCTCTCTTGGTATTATCAATTAAAAGATAAGGAACTAAAGTAGACAATCGATAAGATAAGAAAATGTTTGTAGACATTTCTGGGTACAGGAAATAAAGTATGGCAATTTACTTGTGAAAAAATCCCTTTAGCTGCATTGGAATGATTAAAAATTGGGTTTAAATATTGATAATGAAAAGTTGGGAATTTAATTAACGACTTTAGCGCACTGTTGCTTGATATTTTGTTAACTGGATCATCCTTGATCTATGCTTTTCAACTTCTTGGATCTTAAAATCAAAAGCAGAGCAAAAATGCGCTTTAAGTCAATCCACTATGGGGCAAAATTGAAAAAAAGGGGTAATTCACTTCGAAAATAGGACTCTTTCAATTTAGGTTCTCGGGGTATTTTTTTCTTGTAGAGGACATTAAATTAGACTTGCATGCCAAATTTCAGACCATTTTGTGATGTTTTTGAGATTCTAGAGCTATTTGAAGTTGAAAATGAGCAAAAAAACTGGTTTTTTCATGACATATTTAAACTTAAAAATCTCTGCAATGTTTAAAGTTATTGAAAAATTGTTTTCGGTTCCTATAAGAACAATATAAGAGCTTTATTTTAATGTATTGTAAAATTTTTAACTTTCCAGTTTTGGTGCTGGTATGGTTGGAAATGTACGAAAATCCTATGAAAAATATCTATAAACGTGCCGCAACTATCTTAGCAGGTCGATTTCCAGGTAACTGAATATACAGAAATATAGCTCTTGATATACAGTTTGTAAAACTGTATAAACATTAGAAATAACAAAGTACGTTTTTGAGAAAAATTGGTTTGTGTAAGTCGTGAAATATTAAGCCAAAAACTGATTTTTCTCTTAAAAATAACAAATCATTCATAGTAGAAAAGTTTGGTAATGTTTTCTAATTGCAAATAATATTTAAAGACAACCTGCAAAGATTTTTTTTCGAAAAACTCAAAATTTGACGAGATATCGGGTACATTTGATATCTGATGACTTGTATGTTTTTTGCACCACTCAAATGACTCTAACTTTTGTTTAACTTAATATTTTTCAGTTCTGTTTCCTGTTTATTGTAGCTTAAGTCAATACCTTTCTAACAATATATAATACTTGATAGTTGCATATGACATTGATCTTGATTATTGGCATTGTTTGTGAATGACCCCAAACTAAGAAAAATCTTGAAAACAACATTTCTAGAAATACCACTTAGAAAGAAAATTGTATATTGTTTTGAGGTTTTTTATGATGATTTATGATAATTATGACTGTTAAAACTCAAAAACATGGAATTCATAAACTTTTTGCGATCTCAGGTAGCCTGATTAGGTACGACCCTAGTAGTATCTATTGGACCAGAAAGTCTCTAGTATCAGACTATTTTAAAAACTCAAATTAATGAATTCATCATATTTAAGCATATTTATAGCAAAATATTTCATTTTTAGATACTTTTGGTTGAAAAATTGTGAATTTTGGCTATTTTGTTTAAGTTCAGCTTGCGTCGGTCACATTCAATCCACTCTAGTTGCAACTATAATGAAGTTTTATACCAGTATTATACATTATCTTAAAGGTACTGATCTAAACTAGCAATAATTGAAAACAGAATGCAAAAATATGTATCCTGAAAAAAGTTAGAGCTCTTTATGTACATAAAAAAGCATACAAAAACGCAACCATCATAGGTAAAAATACAAAAATTGAAAATTTATCAGTTTTTTTTGACAAGCTTTGATTTTTTTGTAATAATAACCACATATAAACACATTTTCAATACTTTTTTGTAAGATTTTCGTTGAAATTTTAAATTTTTGTATTTTTACCTATGATGGTTGCGTTTTTGTATGCTTTTTTATGTACATAAAGAGCTCTAACTTTTTTCAGGATACATATTTTTGCATTCTGTTTTCAATTATTGCTAGTTTAGATCAGTACCTTTAAGATAATGTATAATACTGGTATAAAACTTCATTATAGTTGCAACTAGAGTGGATTGAATGTGACCGACGCAAGCTGAACTTAAACAAAATAGCCAAAATTCACAATTTTTCAACCAAAAGTATCTAAAAATGAAATATTTTGCTATAAATATGCTTAAATATGATGAATTCATTAATTTGAGTTTTTAAAATAGTCTGATACTAGAGACTTTCTGGTCCAATAGATACTACTAGGGTCGTACCTAATCAGGCTACCTGAGATCGCAAAAAGTTTATGAATTCCATGTTTTTGAGTTTTAACAGTCATAATTATCATAAATCATCATAAAAAACCTCAAAACAATATACAATTTTCTTTCTAAGTGGTATTTCTAGAAATGTTGTTTTCAAGATTTTTCTTAGTTTGGGGTCATTCACAAACAATGCCAATAATCAAGATCAATGTCATATGCAACTATCAAGTATTATATATTGTTAGAAAGGTATTGACTTAAGCTACAATAAACAGGAAACAGAACTGAAAAATATTAAGTTAAACAAAAGTTAGAGTCATTTGAGTGGTGCAAAAAACATACAAGTCATCAGATATCAAATGTACCCGATATCTCGTCAAATTTTGAGTTTTTCGAAAAAAAATCTTTGCAGGTTGTCTTTAAATATTAATTGCAATTAGAAAACATTACCAAACTTTTCTACTATGAATGATTTGTTATTTTTAAGAGAAAAATCAGTTTTTGGCTTAATATTTCACGACTTACACAAACCAATTTTTCTCAAAAACGTACTTTGTTATTTCTAATGTTTATACAGTTTTACAAACTGTATATCAAGAGCTATATTTCTGTATATTCAGTTACCTGGAAATCGACCTGCTAAGATAGTTGCGGCACGTTTATAGATATTTTTCATAGGATTTTCGTACATTTCCAACCATACCAGCACCAAAACTGGAAAGTTAAAAATTTTACAATACATTAAAATAAAGCTCTTATATTGTTCTTATAGGAACCGAAAACAATTTTTCAATAACTTTAAACATTGCAGAGATTTTTAAGTTTAAATATGTCATGAAAAAACCAGTTTTTTTGCTCATTTTCAACTTCAAATAGCTCTAGAATCTCAAAAACATCACAAAATGGTCTGAAATTTGGCATGCAAGTCTAATTTAATGTCCTCTACAAGAAAAAAATACCCCGAGAACCTAAATTGAAAGAGTCCTATTTTCGAAGTGAATTACCCCTTTTTTTCAATTTTGCCCCATAGTGCAATCCTATACTTACTGCAACATTTGGAGGTTGAGGAGCTCGTCGCTTCTTCCTCTTTACAGGCTTTTTTGCCGACGACGATGACATTGAATTTTCTGTTATCGTTAGATTGTTGGAAGTAATTGTTCCCTCTACATTCTCGTCATTATCATCATCATACTCATCGTCAAATGGATTTGTGCTAATAGAATTCATGGAGGAACTAGATGAGAAATATAAAAGGAATGATAATTAAGACATTAATGGAAATTTAAGATAATTATAATTAGCTAACCCAGGCGTCATTCGAGGTGTATAATCAGTTAAGTAACGACTCTTTGGTGTCGATGTTATTGAGCTTGGATACATGTAACGTCCATCATGTCTCAATGTTGATATGTGCTGTAAAGATGCACCATTCTGTATAGTGCTTCTATAACGATTGTTTCTGTTGAATGTTAAATCATTTGGTGCATTATTCATGTTCTGTAAGGAACTTCTATAAACAGTATTTCGCTGGAAAGTATCTGTGTCAAGAGTATTTCTAAAATGCGGATTGTAAGATGCATATTTATCTTCGTCCTCTTTATTGTATGTTATAAAATCCTTTCTTAATAATGTCGGCGACTCGGATGTGTTATTTATTCCCAATGTGGATGATTGCTTCTTGCCTCTGAATGATCCCAATGAGCTAGAATGGAAAATGGCGAGAAAATGAGTTGAAAAGATATGGAACTGAACATAATGATTAGAAATGATCAACGGTTGAAATGTAAGTGCCAACGCTTAACATAACCTCAAGGATGTCTTATAGACATGCACCCAACCTCAGAGTCTACACTGTTTTAGAAACACATCCCTTAATTTTCAAAAAAATCACAATCATTTGAAACTCAATAGTTATCTCATATTCTCAGACGTCATTTACAAACAATCATTCGAGACACACAATTTTTCTATTTTAAAAAATGTCATGCAAAAAAATCACAAAAGTAATTGATGCCAAAATAAGTTTCACTTTCATTTCTCATGACTTGTACGTTGATAATGTCCGAAATATAAATTCTTAAATTGATTTGAATGTTGACTAATTCTATAAATTGTGCTCATTTATGGGTTTTTATAGCTCGTCACTTCTTTGTGACCTTTAGCTGTCTTACTTAAGTATACAAGTCGTTGCCTGCATGACGCAATTTACGACTCTTTTCATACACAGTGAGTTTATAGTGAGTCACATTTTTATTTTCATTATTTTGCTAGCTTCACGAGGTAGCTTAGATTAGAAGAAAATAGAAGCTGTATATTGAGGAGAAAATGGATCAAGTTCAACTTGGTTGTATAAAATTAATTTATCCGTATTATGTGTTAAAATATGTAAGCAAAATACATACTAAATTTTTGTTCATATTGAGAGGAGAGGGGGGGGGGGGGGGAATAACGTGACGGGGAAAAATTTTTGATTTGATTCAAGGGGATAACAACATGATGGGAACGGAGTTTTTCTTCTAATACAAAAGAAACCAATATGGTGGGATTATTTCTTTTTCTAGGGGATAACAGCATGATGGGGTGAGCAGGAAGAGTTTTCGTTCCCATTCAAGGAGGAATCAACTTAATAAATAAAGAAAAATTGGTGAAAATTTCCCATCAAAGCTTTTCCCCATCACGTTGTTATCCCCTTTGTTCATATTACATAATCTCGGCTCAAACTAGATGAAAAATAAGAAGGAACTAGTGTATCGGGTAGCAACCCAATGCGGATATATTCACACCGTACCATCAAAAGTCTTATGGATAGACCAAGATTTGCTCAGCATAAGTTTGAAGGGTGAGCGTAAAGTAAGGCCGAGACCCATATCGACACAGTTCAAAAGTTATACCTAATTTATGTCATAATTATGTCAGCTACAAAAACACTTAGTTTGAATTTTGTCACCCTCGGGAACACTATGAACCAGTATAGCTGATTTTGGTCCAAATCTAGGCCATACTTCACACTTATTTGAACCACATTTTCTCGTAAATGTTAAAATATTATTAAAAAGTAATTAATCCTGAATTATGTCGCTATTTTGTCAAGTGTTTTAAGATAAAGAATTTGTTTTTTGGTTTCCACAGTGAAGAGTATGAACAAAATTCAAATGGGGTAGTTGACATTTTAGATTTCGATTTTTTTTAAGCTATGCATTACAAAAAGAAATATTGGTATGTGATTTATGTCAGAATTATATCAATTCAAATAAAACATCCAAAAAATTTTTTTTGACTCAAGTACACCATAGAAAATCAATTTTCAATTTTGGACTAGGGGCGACCCTATTCAAAATCATTTTTGTCACTTTTTTCTTCGAGGGTTTATCCAAACGGATTGAAACTTTGCATAAATATTCTAATGCTTAAAACAAATACAAATAAAACATCCTAAAATTTTTTTGAGCAAAGAACCAAGTAGGAAATACATTTTCAATTTTGGACTAGGGGCGACCCTAGTCAAAATCAATTTTGTCACTTTTTTCTTCGAGGGTTTATACAGATGGATTGAAACTTTGCATAAATATTTAAGTGCTTAAAACAAATACAAATAAAACATTTAATAATTTTTTTGAGCAAAGAACCAAGTAGGAAATACATTTTCAATTTTGGACTAGGGACAGGTCTAGTCAAAATCTAGTTTTTCACTTTTTTTCTTCGAAGATTTATCCAATTACAGTGAAACTTTGTGTGAGTATACTAATATTTATACAAAACAAATTTTATAAATTTGGTTCTCCATTCGAAAACATCGTGACTTAAAATTTTGTCCAAAAAAATGATTTTTATTAATTCAGAAATGTGTGACCTGAAAATTAGAATGCTCATACATTACTGTATTTGGATTTATCCTCGAAGGGAAAAAAGTGAAAAACGAGATTTTGACTAGACCTGTCCCAAGTTCATAATTAAAAATGTATTTCCTACTTGGTTCTTTGCTCAAAGACATTTTAGAATCTTTTATTTGTATTTGTTTTAAGCACTTAAATATTTATGCAAAGTTTCAATCCATTTGGAAAAACCTTCGAAGAAAAAAGTGACAAAAATGATTTTGACTAGAGTCGCCCCTAGTCCAAAATTGAAAATGTATTTCCTACTTGGTTCTTTGCTCAAAAAAATTTTAGGATGTTTTATTTGTATTTGCTTTAAACACTAGAATATTTATGCAAAGTTTCAATCCATTTGGATAAACCCTTGAAGAAAAAAGTGACAAAATTGATTTTGACTAGGGTCGCCCCTAGTCCTAAATTGAAAATGTATTTCCTTCTTGGCTCTTTGCTCATAAAAATTTTAAGATGTTTTATTTGTATTTGTTTTAAGCATTAGAATATTTATGCAAAGTTTCAATCCATTTGGAAAAACCTTCGAAGAAAAAAGTGACAAAATTGATTTTGACTAGGGTCGCCCCTAGTCCAAAATTGAAAATGTATTTCCTACTTGGTTCTTTGCTCAAAAAAATTTTAGGTTGCTTTATTTGTTTTTTTTAAGCACTAGAATATTTATGCAAAGTTTCAATCCATTCGTATAAACCCTCGAAGAAAAAAGTGAGAAAATTGATTTTGACTAGGGTCGCCCGTAGTCCAAAATTGAAAATGTATTTCCTTCTTGGTTCTTTGCTCAAAAAAATTTTTTTCATCCAAAGTTTAATTTAAAAAAAAAAATCACAGTGAACTTTTAATTTGAAAAATTCGTAAGAAAGGAAAGTTTTTTGCTTTTTCTGAAGCAACGGCTGTTCCTACCTTGCTTAAAAACAATACAGCTCTTCTATAGAGCAGCACGGATCAAATGTAAAAAACTAAAAGTCTCTAAAATGTCTCGTTATTGAGATTTCTTGCTGATTAACTTGCTTGTTTGCTTGCTTACAGAAAGCATATTTTGCGATTTTCTCAGCAATGCCGCAACCAATTTGAAATCTGTTTTTTGCAAAAGATGTGAAATTCAAGGCACAAACTTTTCATCTCTGAACATTTTAAGCTCTCTTGCTCCATATCCTCACAAAATTCAAAAAACTGATTTTTCAATCTGAACAAAACCAATAGATTCACACGTAAAAACGGTGTGAATATAAAAAGATAAAAAAAATATTCTCCGGCAAATGGTGATTTAAAATTAAATGACTCGTGAAATTGAAGATAATCTTAACAAGGTCGGGAGTTTAAGAAAAATAATTCCACTAGAAATGAGTCGACTCCAAAATTTCCAGATCATTTCACATAATAATTTTCATTCTTAGAAGCTATAAGGAAAAAATATTGCTTGCTCTACACAATCTTTCCTTTATGTCCTTCCTCAAATCCCCTGAAGATTTTTCTCCTCATTCTTTTAAGTTTGCTAGTGATTCCGTTTAATTTTTTCTATTTGACTTTTTTTGTGTCTTTTAAAATGTTTCCATTGTGACAAATCGCAATATAAACAGCATTCTACTATGGACTCTACTGTCTCTTTTTATGGATGTGCAAATTAATTCAAAATACTTTATTTTTCGTCTCGAATCTCATCTCTTCTTCATTTTTGGCGAATTAACAAATAAAAAAGAACTTGGAAGAAGCAGTTTTGCTGTTCTTGGAATAAGAAGTTATCTCAATTATCCACACTTTGTCTGCTCATTAATTTCTTCTATAAACAAAAAATTCGTCTGCTTTAATGCACTAACAATTATGCGAGCAATTTAATTACTAATTTAAGCAATAAGTTGACTTTGTGTTGTTGCGATTATCTTCATTTATGTAGGATTCTCTTGATGAATTAGAGATTTATTTGGATTGAGTGCTTTAAGAACTTTTTCATCCATTAATTATTTTAAAGAAGATTTATTGTTTATTTTAAGATAGCTAAATGCGAACAATCGTCTTTATTTCCTATTATATTGTTTTATCTTAGCAATTTGTTTCTCAATTAAGATTTTAGACGCTTTGATTTGAGAGAATGAAAAATTAATTCTAGTAAATCATGGAGGTAGACGAAAAGGGCGTGTGATACTATGACAAAACAATTAAAGGGGTGTAAAACTATAAAATCATTGATTAACGGGGAATAACATTATGAAATGTTTTTGAAACGAGGTGTGAAACTAAAATAGTAAAAACTTATAAAAGGGTGTGAAACTACGAAAATTACTCCAATAAATGCGTCAAACCAAACCAAATCAAAAGTATTTTAAAAAAAATATCAAATCGATTCTGAGTATCTATTTCGTAACTTGTAGCAAGGCAATTAAAGAAATCAAATTAATATTCAACATTTATTGCTCATAATAATGATGAATAATCATTAATGCTCAGCAAATTTATATTTATTTATTTAATGAGTTTTTCCACTCGTTCCAAATACTTGTATAGCTTGATCATTGTTAAAAACACACTCAACTCGATTACAAAGACATTTGTACTTATTCATCATAATAGCAATATACAGCAAAAACTTTCATCAGAGCCTGAAATAACAAAAATTTCATTGAATGAAAAATTCATTTATCTCCAACTTCTGCTGCTCTCTTTGTCGATGAAAATTATTTTCCTTAAAATGCCGATGGTCATTTTGCATGTTCAACTTTTATTTTTTGACAGTTTGAAAAATTTTTGAGTCACAGCAAATTGCTGAATAAATTCTCTCATGTTGCTAGTTAGGTAGATAATGATAAACTTCAAATTTCAACAGAAGAGCTCAAAGGAGAAACTTTTCATAGCATGCACAAATGAATTCTATCATTATTTTTAGGATTATTTAAATATTTCGCAAAAGGATACAGGAGGAAAGGTAACATGTTTATTATAAAGTATTTTGTTTCAAAGCGAATATTTTAACGGCTAGAAATTTTTCAAATTTATGCAAAGTTGCAAACCCTTTTTAATTTTTTTTGGCAAAATTTCAGTATTCTTTGGAATTTCAATCAATAAACATCAAAAAAAGTTCATTCCTATTTCAGCTTTATAACTTTAATTTAATTATTAGAAAACATTGCTCAGCAATAGAATATTGTATAAATTTATCATATAAATGCCACAAGAATTACAAAACAACAAAAAAACTGAATAAGTTATACAAAAACTTCCAGACATTCAAAAACAACCGCACAAAACTGCAGATAACTTTGCCTTTCTTCTTCACAATGCATTAAAATTATCAATTTTGAAAATGAGAACTTTCTCATCACTTAAGAGTTTCATTTTCAATTCCATCCGTTTATTCGTTATGAAATTGCATGCGATAAAAAAAGCATTTCAATTATAACTTCAACAAGACAATGCTGAATTCCACTTGAGTTTCTAATGGTCGAACGTTTTCTTTTTCTTCGTAATTGTTCTCAGTACGCTGACACTCAATTGCCTCATTTCTCGTCATCTACAATACTTGACAAGTCATACTTGTAGAAAGTATTGTGATAATAAAAGTTTTTATTTCGATTGAAAAAAAATTCTGAGCTGGAAGAAGCGACGCCAGTCAGACAACTATTCAATAAAAGTGCATATAATGCTCAAGGTTATCACGAGAAAATGGCATTGTAGAAATAATCGATTAAATTCAAAATCAGCAAAAAAAATTACAAAAGAAAATGAAAAGTACATTTTGCAGTCCATTGTAGATTATCTCTTGAACGAGATACTAAAATTATCGAACTAGGTTTTAAATGCTAAGAAGACTGCAAAACAATTTTACTAATTGGCTGTATCATTCAAAACAATTGTTGAAGTGAAAAATTGCTAATTGGTTGCTGGCAATTGCATTTATCGTAAATTGTTTGATTACTTAACTTGCAATTTCAAGTCGAACTAATCTTTTGTGATTAATTCATAACTCAACACATCTATCAAGTAAATGATATTGTATATCATGCAATTGTATAAACAGAGAGGAAAAAGCACCGCAGGCAATTTCCCCTTCGAAATTAATTTTTTAATTTATTTTATGAAGTTTTTTTTAAAAAAAAATCGCTTTATGAACACTGAAAATGTTTACTAGCTTAAGATCAAAGAAAAATGTTTTCATGTACATTAAATGCATTTTTAGATAAAAATTTCCACTCATGCATCTCCAGCACACATGAGTGTGTATGTTTGTTTTCATATTGATGAGTTTTTCCAGAGAACTAGTAAAGGTCGATGCTTATTGAGTTAAATTATTGAAGGCGCATCTGTTTACTTTAGATTGACAATTAAGTACGTCATTTTAAGATCGATTGGCTATTGGAAACTGAACTGACCTAGATGTATTGAATAGTGAAGACATCAATTTGCTTCATAAAAGGCTTCTAGAATTAAATTTTGTGTTTGATGTTCAACTAGTGTTCATTTTTAATGAAATAATTTCATAACGGTTAATTTTATTTTGAATGTTGTTAAATTCATGCTAGTTGCAAGCCCCTTAAAAAAATTCGATTACGATTTTCAGTTTACTTTTAATATGTGAAGTGTTAACATCTTAAAAAGATACTTTAAGTTAATTATTAGATCAATTTACAACAAAATAGACGAAATAACGAGTTATTTTGTTTTTGAACAGCATATTTTGACTTAATTTAACTAGTTTGAAACAATTTAAATTTCAAATTGACCGCAAATTAATTCTACATGATTTGGAAATCTACAGAAACTTAAATTGGCAAGTCAAACTTCTTAATTGTTCGAATCTGTTTCAAAATATTCACGTGATTAGTATTAATACAGTTTTATTCAGCACAAAACTTCTTTCTTATTTAACAAACAATATTACAAAATTCAATTGACAGTAAAATGTCAAAAAAAGTAGCTTTTACTAATTTTCAAAGTGCTAATTTTGCCTCAAATAATTAAATTACCATAAGACATCTCTATTAAATTATATAATTAATTTTTATATGCTTATTAAGGCATGGAAAATTCTCAATTACAAGATTCCATTTCTGACAGTCAAAGCTATTCATAGAAACGCATTTACTTCATGCAGTGAAAAACTGTTTAATGAAATTAAACGAAGTAGAAAGAAGAAGAAGTAGAGAACGAGAAGATAATTCAGTTTATGTTTAGAACGGTTCATTCAGTTTCCAAAAAAAGACATGAACATGTTAAACATGTTGTACACTATCGGTCAATGCATGTTAGATGCAGAGATTTTCATTCTTCTGGTTATTTTTTTGTTTGTATCTCTATTTAACTTTTCTATTAGTAGAAACGTGTATGTTTGCCCAGTACAGCTTCAGCTTTAGCTCGAAAATTTGTTTGGTTAAAAAATGTATTTGAGAATTAATGTTTTCTCCGTTCTTTTATTGAGTTCGACACACATTTGCCATTTTCAGTTCTGTTCTTTTCATTCAATTTAGTTTTTATTTTTTTGGTAAAGATTACTCGTGTAGGTGGGCTCTATTGTTTGTCTCTGCTTCATACTATTTTTTTTTGTGACTTGAAAGTTCTTTTTTCGACTTAACAGCAAAAGTACATAAAGATTTTTGTTTTATTCTATTGGTACACAGACCCGAATGAGATTGAATCAAATATATATTTATTTTTTTTTCTTCTATACAATGAAGATGAGACCTATGAGATAATGTTTATTCTAGATGTTATTGTTCCTTATAACTTGACATTTTCATCTGACAAAATGACATTGTTCGTGATATAAAACAGATAAAGAGAGAGTCATGTTTGTTATTTCTATTTTTCCTCAAGAGTCATAAGATGCGACAGGATGATGAAGAAGAACGATGATGAGGAGCCACACGAGAAGCTATATGGCCTATTTATTCTACAGAACATGAAACAATTTATGAATTTTTTTCGCATTTTTATTGGATGTGATCTAAACTGATGGGAAAATGTGTCAATCTTTTCTATTATTTCTCTAATATCCTTCAAGTGTCTTTTATAATAACATCACATATGAGACATGCATTTCTACAATCTAATAAAAACAAGTAAATAAGTCTACTTATTGTAGGTCAATGACTAAAGTGTACTTTTGTCATAACTGATAAATATTTATTTATAATGTGTTCAATCTATGACGACATTCACGCAAATTTCTAGCTGAGGGATGTTTGAATTGCAGTTATAAAGCTATCATAAAAGTTATTGTTTTTGAAGTTTATGACTCTATTCCTAATCAAAATACTGGAAAAAACTCAATAATTATATGACGATGGAATTGCCGGTAATTCATTTTTATGATGTTTTGATGATTGAAATGATAAATTATTGTTCGTTAATAGTTTTGAGTGTCTGGAATGAATTAGTGGCTGTGTTGATTTATGTGAATCTGATAGATATTATTAGAAATATTGAGATGTTTTACTGGAGTTTGTCTCATTTGATTAAGAAGTGCATCAAAATGGAGATTTTTGAGCTATTGACGCTTGATTAGAAACTGAACAACTTTGATTAGAGAATATTTTGACGATTAATAAAGATTTAAATTGAATTTGCAATAAGTGGATTTCCCCTTTTATAGTCACTTACCTCCCACAATAAACATAATTTTCATTAATGCCAACTTTACTGTGTACTCCTGTTAAGAATAACCCAAAGAAATATTGAGGTCATTCACATTTCTATTAGTTTAGCTATAGCTTTAGAACATGCTGCGAGTTTTTCACAAGAAAAATACAGAAAGTTTATACTAAAAGACGAGATTTTCTTTCGAAATTATCTAAGCTTCTTCTAAAACAGCTAGCTGCAGCTATAAAAATCCAAACAACCTTTCAGTTCCTAATTTAAATGATTGTTAATTTGTAGCAAACAATCGTGAGCTTAGAAACTACAAACAATAACATTATGGATAGAGATTTTATATCTTTTTATTCATAAAACAAATTTTTACCAGAGAAACAGTCAGGTTGACAGTAGGGAAACCTATAAAATATTTTTGTTCTTCCCATTTCTACGTGTTAAGGTAAAATTCAAAATTCTTTTTATGACAAAAGGAAATGAGAAAAAATTCTTCATTCAAAAAAAATAATATTTTTTATTGAAAAAACTCGTCACTTGCCAAGAAGTTTTATTTATCTGAAAGCAAGCAGGAGAAGAGCCATGCATGACATAAAAAATTAAATGAAATTTTTCCCCGCAATATATGCTCGGTTGCTCCTTTTCTTCTCTTGCATTGCTTATTTCATCACAACAAATTGCTCTCATGACTCCCATTTATAAAACTTTGCTGTTTTTCTTTATCATCATCGTGTGTTTTCTTCTTTTGGAAAACATAAACAGTAGCCAAAATGAGAAGAATGTTTGTGAAAGTCAGAGGGTGGCCACGTGAATTTTAGAATCTTGCTGTGATTCTCGTCAAATTTTTTGTAAACAAAATGTGTTTTGGACTTATTATTGATCATTTATTGACTGGATCTACTAAATTTGCTAGGTTAGCTAGTGTCTAATTTATTGAGTAAGATTTCGACTCATTTTCTCCTATATTCCTTTTCTGGATGTTGAGTTCAGCCCAATAATTAACTAAACAGATGCCAACAACTCAACATGACCATTCCCTGATGACAAAAGCACCAAAGAAAGAGTAAGATATAAGAAAACTAAAGTGCAATTTGTTTGACTTTCTTTTATCATTCACATAATAATCATTATCATCATAAATGCTGAGCACTAAAAGTCAGTCATGATATTATACTCACAATAAGTCTCGAAGTGATCCGAAAGTAAAACTCCCACGTCGCATACCGCTACCACCATCTCTATTCTTATTGCTGTTACTGCTCTTTTTAATCTTCCAGAATCGCAATCGCTTGTGTTGTTCATCTTCATAAAATGGATTTAAGTGTTCCGGATAATTGTACACAGATACTTGACTTGATGAGCGATAACTTGACATTATGATGTGCCGTAACTCACACGAACTTATTATTTTTAATTCCTCTTACTTTTTCTTCTTATACTTTTCTGTTCATTTCAGGCGAAAATAACAACAACGTAAAGTCTTTTCAGTTCTGCAAAAAATTGTGGAGAAACAAATGTAAAATCATCTTGTCGTAATTGATGATAATTTAATATTCACTCGCACAACATCGTCATTTAATTAGCATTATTTTCGAGGCTACGTTCATGTTCATTACATTTAAAAGTTAATGGATTTAATTCTGTGCCTTTAATTAGCAGGAATGAAATAGGATTTAATAAATTTTGTTTATTTTGACATTGGGGGGGGGGGGGGGGCATTGAGTGGTGTAGCATTAAAAAGGGGTTAAACATGCTAGAACCCCTAAATTCGAGGTCTTGTTTAAAAAAAAACTCCCACGCCCCCCAATTTTTTCCTTACATATAAAAATATCCATAAAATTTTTGTACCCCTTAGAACCCCTGAAGTCATTCCTAATTCTGATATAGTCTTGAATCCTCTACTTCTATCTTAAAGACATAACTTTTATACAAACCCCCCAAAAAAAGAATCTTAAAGTCAAGGTGTTGCTGATGAAAGCAGAAGCTGAAACATCACAACTAATTAGCAAAGAAATATTCAAAACAAAAAAAAAGTTATTTCCCGTTCTATAGAATAAAATTAATCATTCAAGCTATTCCTTGACTGCTATCTTCATTCCATTGTTCATACCATTCAATCTGTTTTGTTGCTGAAGATAATTAACATTTTTCAGAAATTAAGCGAAAATATTTCTTTGCTGCTCTATTTGAAAAACAGTTGAGACTGAGTGGTGTGAGAAGGAAGGTTTTGGGGATGTATTGTGAAGAATGCATTAATTAAGATGTGAATTTTAGACTGTGTGTTAATTGTCAACTAAACAACCAAGGACGAAACGTTGTAAATGCCGATAGCTACTAAAGTTTGCAATTTGACAGCAATAGCATCAGGAATTCATCAGAATTTCAAGTATTTTGTCACTTCCAATGTCAATAACAACAAAACAGCTTTATGATAGACAAATTACAGCAAACTAGTACATCAATCATTTTTCCAAACAAGTATGCATGTTGTCAACTTTCAAGCACATCAACTTGCTCTCATTGTGTCGATCATTTCAGTCTCAAGAACAGAATTCATCCGCAATTAAGAGTTATTTTGCAAACGGAATCTTAAAATCATAATGTTTACAATAAATTCCATCATCAGCACACATGAGTTTGCTAAGAACTTGAATCGGTCGGAAGTAACAACTGCTCGGCATCAAATTGTAATACATTTAAATAAATTTTTTCTTCTTTCTGTTTTGCCTCTTTTAGCAGAAGCGGAGCCATAAAAATTATCGTCATCATCATGTTAAGAAGTTGTTATTTAAATACGGAATTTGAAGTACTTAACAGCATAAGCGTATTTTTGAGTACTTATTAAGAGTTCGTGAGAGGCAATTTTTCAGCACTTATGAAAATTTTGTAAGCAACAAAATAATTAAATTTATTTTCCAGAGCACTTCTTATATCTGTAGCATTAAAAATTTTTGTTGCTTTACATGCTTTTCTGTACTCGCAAATTTTTGTTTTATGTTTTTCTCATCGTTTTGATGTGTGTACAATATGCTTATTTAATTTATTTTAGAGAAAAAAAAAATATCGAATGTGCTACATGTTTTGAAGGATATTGCGGAAATTGGAAAGCAACTGTATATTTTTTTGATGCTTTATTTAGTCGAATGTAAACAAGTTTTCATTGATTATCTCGAAACTGTTTCAAAATGAATTGAATTGTAATATTAGTGAAATTAGTTGCAAGCCCCGCATATTTGTTTACAAAATTTCAGTATTCAAGCAGTAAACTTCAAGTAAACCTTAACTTAATTATTAGACACAAACTGTAACAAAATTAGAACTGATAAACTCGAGACATTAACGAGTTTTCAAGGCAGCAAAGCGATTATAAATTAATTTATTATCTAAAGGTTAAAGATGCAGAAAAGATTATGAGATTTCAATTTATCAATCAGCTGTTTGTTATCTCACATTTTACCAGAGTAAAAAACCCAGCATAAAGTCTATATAATGTCACACACATTAATCAAAGAAATTCTCAAACATTTTCGTCTATAAATTAAGCAAAAAATAACTTCAGTAAGTAAGCAACATTTAAAAATTGCAAAAGAATCTTTTTTTTTTTGAAAAGTCTGCAGTCATCTTGTTCAGTTCCTATAAATAAACATTTTGTTCATTCCTCAATGAATTCTTAAAAACCGGTCGTGGTAGGAATTTTGAATATATTGTCATAAACTTTGAGTTTTGTTGTTGACACAGAAGTCGAAATATCCAGAAAAGAAGAAATGTGCCTTAAAATGACATGAAAATTAATTTTTGAAAATTTTCTGCCCACTTTAATGCAAAATAGATTTTGGTGAGATGAGAAAAACAAAAGCAGCGACTGTGCTCATAGCACATTAGAAATTAAAGTGAGCTGACATTTCAGCATCCCACTCAAAAGTACGAAATTAATCAACCTTATTAAAGTGAGTAAATTATTCTTAAGATCGAATGTAAAGAGCTGAGGTTCCCACACGTGATGAATAATTTTTTGGAAACTGTACTAGAAACTAATTGAATGTAGTTTTTTTACTTAACACACTAACAGTAAGCCATTCTTAAAATAGCAAAAAAAACCTCATTAATGCCGAATGAATAGCGAAAATTGAATGTGTGACACGAGCGATGAATTAATAACTATCGCTAATGTATTCTGCTCCATAAAGTCGTCGTACACAATAACACAACGTGAGTCGTTGATTTGCAATGTCTACATTGCGATAAATCTAAAGTCTCAAATGCTGTGAGAATCTTCAAGAATTTTCAGAAAGGCACAAATTGCAAAGAAACAAAGAATAAATGAGATGAAATAAATCTCAATATAAATCAGCCATATAATTGACAATCCAGTTACTTCCATTCACCGCACAATGCACTTTGTAATGAAATTCATTTTCTTCATTTTACGCTCAATTTAAGAAATTCAAAAGAGGAAAAAAGGAAGAAAAAAATCTGGGTTTTTAAAATTGCTCTGTGGACAGTTAATGAAGGGAGACAGTTCCGTTAGAAGAATTTTGTAACATTTTTTTTGGACGCTGAATGAATTTCATGGTGATGGAGTTTACACTGCTTTAATAGTTTTCCATGCACTTATTTTTATGGTTCAAATTTCTGATAAATTTTTTTATTGCTTTTCCAGGAATGTTTAGTATTTATTTGAGTCGTAGATTGAAAGTTCTAGAAATTTATGGAGTAATTTCCTAATCCTAGCTTTTAGAATCAATTTATTGACAGCTAGGTTATGTTCTGAGTTTAATAGAGCCGAACTTTACCCATACTTTTAATATTCTATACTTTCTGAGCTTTATCCTTCTAATTTTCTCTAGAACTTTTACTTTAAATATTTTATTTTGAATAGTCAAAACAAAGCTAGTAGTATGAGTTCTACACACATAAGTGCTAGTATATTGTTTTTGTTTTTTCAGGTCACAGGTGCTGCTAGCAGCAGTTCATATATATTAGCACAAAGTGTCATAAAATAGACTCTATAGAATGTCTCAGGCAGAGGTTCTCAAGGACACCCTACCTTAAACCTATATCAATTTTTAATTCCAGTGTAGGTTGCACTTGGAATCAACATATACTTGAGGTCTTCGATTTAAAAAGATTCGATTTATTGAAATTGATTATTCCCAGTATTCGAAAATTATATGTTTTTTGGAAATATTATTGAAAATGAAGATCGAAGCTAGTAAAGCATCAGTCACTAAAGTGCGCTCGGAATTGCACGAATCCAAGTTAATTTCGACAACATTCTTTGTAATGATTATGATTATAAGATCAGCTTCTGGTGGGAATCGAACCCACTTTTTGACAAAAGATAGGTTTATAGATTTTTGGTCTATTGCCTATCCATTCAACTACTGAAGTCTTATTATCTCATTGGCAGATGAGCATACAGATTCAACTATTATAAGACACTACATACACTAAATTAAAGTAACTGCACATCAACATCAAATTAAGATCCCAAAATATTTTTTGATAACAATAGATGAACAGTTTTAAACTGCAAATATTTTGTAAGCAGCTGCTGCCAGCAATGATATAATGATCACATCTGCTATTTCCAAATTCTTCTTTTAATTATTATGAAAGCTTATCGTAGCTATTAAATTCACATGAAATTTTAAAAATAATATTTTGTGGCAATTCATAACCACAGTATCTCCACCTCACAATCATAATTTGCATCACAATAATCCCAAGGGCAGCATAAGAAATCAGCAAAAAAAAAATTAAAACTTTCTTCATCAAAACTTTTTTTTTCTTATTCATCTTTTAAATTGTAATTAAATGACGATGAAATGGCAAGCGATTGTTGCTTTATATTATTTATAGAACTTTTCTTAAACAACTGATGATAATAACAATAAAAAGAAGGCATAAGGAATTTTCCGTAAGGAGCAAGAGTAGAGTTGCGCTATCACAACTTAATTTATCTGTATTACATTTTAATTCTTCAGTATCTGAACTTGATTGTCACACAACGCATGGACTTTTTTTCTTCTTCCTCGTTATGATTGTAGGAACTTTGTTTCACACCGAAATATATAAAGAGTTTTTAATAATAAGATTTTTAAGGCACGATCGAGCAACGCGATTTCTTCACTTAAACGATTTCCGATTGACTGACTTGAATTCTTTGAGAGCGAAAACATTCAAAAGTATTTTTTTTTTCATTTCCACATTCACATCTTTAATCGTTTCTCTATGTATTGAACGCACACCGCGGATTTTCTATTCAATATGTCGTTGTCTGTATGGCTAGCTGGCTGAGTATGAGAAGATGATGTACAGAAAAAGAATCAGTTCGTAATTAAATACGATGAAAATGATCTCGTCTTCATGACT